ACTAGTATCCAAAATATGTATTGTGAAATATGTGAAATTTGATCACTTTATATAGACAAAATAAATTACAAAATATAACTATATAACTCTTATTTCCACTCTGTTGATTATTTTCCACATTCATTTCAATGCTATAGAAAACAAACTTGTCTGTGAAATTTGAACAATTAAATCATTATTTATGGAAGTAATAACAATTACAGAAATCAGAAGTTTTGAACCTGACACAATGGCTAAGTGGCTAAATCCTTGCCTTGTAAGTGTTATGATCCTGTATGGGTGCTGGTTTGTGGTCAGCTACTCTATTTTCCATCAAGCAGAACAGTCAGAACACAAGCCAATGGGATCCCAGTGCTTGCTAGGTAAGAATTTAGCCACTGAGTCATCATACTGAGACCCTAGTCTACCATATTTTTACCATATGCATAGAGGCACATAATTACTACATATTAAACATATGAAACTATTTTTTTCATTGTAAAAAAAAAACAATGGTTTTTGGTTTACTCCTTAATAATGAATCATACCTTTACAGAATCATCCGGAAAGTGCATGATCCAGACGTGGAAGTGGCCTAGGAAGGAAAAAGTGGGAACCTCCCCCTGGGTTACCACTCCCACTGGAGAGCATGAAAACCAGGACAATGGCAGTGGTAGCTGGACAGAACAGCACCAACCAGCATGTGTGTGGGCTAAATAGTGGAGTTGATTTGGTTGAACTAGGCTTCAATGACCATTGACATGTATGAGAGCTGAATGGGATGTGGGACAGACTGGGCTAGTCTGCTGCACATAATGGCAAGCACGGGAACAAGGGCAGGGGGCAGGCCTGGTAGGGGTTATTGTGGGTTGCTCCTATTAGGCTGCAGCTCCTACTGGTTTGCATGGGGATTGAGAGTGTTGTGGGCAGGATCGGGCTGGACTCCAACACCCATTGGTTCCAGTGGATGACAGGACTGGAAACAGAATACACCCAGCAAATTGCAACCACCAGCTGCTTAGGGCGATGGACGGTGCCAAGCCCTGTACTTGCAAGTACACCCAAGAATCAGGTCTGGGTTCACCTCAGACAAAGCTTCTTTGGTGATCTCTCCAATCAAACTGCCGGACTCAGATCCTTAAACATGAAGAGAAGTGGAGGATTCATGGTCTGCCATGGAGTACAGCAACAGAACCAAGCCTCCTCAGAGGCTCAGACGGAGCAGTGCAGAGCATAACCAGGTGTACATGGAGGATATGGCAGTCCATCAGAACCTGCAGGCGATACCTGGCACCACAACAAATCAAGGACAGAACAAACAAATCAATCAACTACCCCAGCCATATGCTGGCAGTGAAAAACTGGGCAGAGACTCTAAGGTGGACTATGTCAATCAGTGGATTGTGCAGCGACTTCATCGTGCTTCGAATGGCACGATTGGCAGCAGTTCATAACTGTTGAACTATTAAAACCACTGGAGCAGGACCCTCAGAGCATGCCCCACATCAGGGAACTGGGATGGGTGGGAGCATGGCTTGGGCTTCTCCTTTTATCTCCCCCTTAGACCAAGATGCAGAAAAAAAAAATGGTTAAATAATAGTCATACCCACTTTCCTGTAGCCTTTGACCCTATGTGCCCTAATTAACTATGTAAAGAATGTCAAAAATAAAGAAAAAACACATAGAGATGAGAAACGATATAACCAATCATACAACATCCCACTTCCCTAACTCTTAACAACATCTGTGCCAGCCATCTCTTTAGTATTTTATTTCAAAAATTTTCTATATAAGTGATTTGGACATGGCTGAAACTTAATTTTTTGGTTTCCTCTCTGTCTCTCCTCTCTGTATATCCACCTTTCCAATAAAAAAAAATAATAAAAATTAATCTTTAAAAAAAATTTTTGGTTTCACTCAGTATTTTTCCTTCAAGACCCATTCAAACCTGTATCAATACATGTCACAAGTTTTATATTGATTGCTCTTCTAGCAAAGTAGCATTTCATAGGATAGAAGTACTAAGCTTTCTTTCACTTATCACAGAAAAACAAATTTGGTGGGTTTCCAATATGGACGTTGTAAATAAAGCTATTATAAAATCTTATGGGGCCTGGCAGAATAGCGTAGTGGTTTAAATCCTCGCCTTGTACACACTAGAATCCCATATAGGCGCCAGTTCTAATCCCGGCAGCCCCATTTCCCTTCCAGATTCCTGCTCCCTGCTTGTGATCTGGGAAAGCAGTTGAGGGTGACCCAAGGCCTTAGCACCATGCAACCACATGGGAGACCTGAAAGAGCTCCTGGCTCCTGGTTTTGGATTGGCTCAGCTCCAGCCATTGCGGCCGCTTGGGGAGTGAACCATCGAAGGTAATATCTTCCTCTCTGTCTCTCCTCCTCTCTGTATATCTGCTTTTCCAATAAAAATAATAAATAAATCTTTTCTTAAAAACTTATGTACATAGTTTTAGATGATTATCACTTTCTACCACCAGTTGTAAAGTTTTGGGTGATACAATTAAGCAGATATTAACTTTGGAAAGTGCAAAAGGATCTCAGAGTAGCTGCAACCTTTTGCTTTCTAACCAGCAATACAAGAATATTGTAAAGACTGGTCCCAATAATTCACACTACATTTTTTTTAAATTTTAGCCATTTTAAGAAGAGTATTGTGGCATTTCTTCTTGGGCTCCTATGAGGTGCCTCTTCTTGATTGTAGTTGAGAACTTCCACCAGTATCTCTTTGTGTCTGGGTTAAAATCTCTGCTCTTGTAAAAGTACAAGTCATAGTGGGTTAAATTGGATAAAAGCCCTAACAGCCTCATGTTAATGTAAGTATCTTCAAAGACTATCTCTTACTATTATAAAGAAAATTTAAATTACATTATTGCATAAATAAAGGAAAATAAATGGCAGCAGATTGAAGAGGTTTTTGAGTAAAAGTTGAGGGAGATTAAATGATCTCTCTTCATTAATAAAAGTTTTAGAAGGGACTACACCTCCAATACTATCATACTTTGTGATAATTCAAGATTAAGATTTTCACATGGAAATGTTGTATGCAATCAATTTAGCCTACAACAAAGTTCTTATTAAACAAATACTTTTCAGATAAATTTAGATGAACATCTCAGAATAGTTGAAATAGTATAAAACTTAAGTGTCATTTGTTTTAAAATAAGTAGCTGAATATGAATGCAGCATGGGTACATGAAGGAAACTGACAAGCAATAAGAATCAGTATTCTGTTGCTGACATAAATAAAGTCAAAGTTTATGAAGTATGGAGGAAGCAGGTTATGTTAAGAGTGATTATCTCTTCATCTTTCAATGCAAATGTGAAATAAATTAGGGTTTAGTGTGTCAAGTAGTGGCTTCTGGAGGATGGAACTCATGGAAAATTTCAACCTGACACACTCTTGATCACTGAAAATGGGGGCATACACCTGGATACATTACCACAATGTGATGAAAGACAGCAAGGATAAAGCCACAAAGAAGGGTCAAATCATGGTAAACCTTAACTGCTTCATTATTCAGTTATTAAGCCCCAAAATGCAAACAATGTCACATTCCTTGGAATTGTTACTTTGGCTTGTGATTTTAGTTTGTAATGAAAAGGCAAAAAAAAAAAAGCAATTATAGCAAGGAAGGTGAGCCAAATGGGATGGAATGAGACAGGAAGTAGTGGAGGGAAACAGGAGGCTTTTATCTATGAGTTAATGGGACACATAGGGAGCAACATCTTGGTGGAGGTTGTGATCTGAAGGGCTCTGTCTCTGATTTGCTCTTGGTCCTGTACAGGAAATCAAGAAGCTCTCCAGAAACTTGATAAGCCTCACTGGGTCACCAGTTTTGAGGCCAGCTCCTCACAGCATCTCATGATCAAAAGGACAGAGGAGTTTTATCTGCACCATCACCAGAGCTCTTCAGCTGCAGAGAAGAATGGAAGAAAGGTAAGAGTACTTAACAAGAAATGTCTGATTTCCAGTTGTGGTCTGTGCTAAAATTTCAAAAGCCTGGTTTCTCCCTGTAGACAGCAAATCAAGGATTGTGGATGTTCCTTCAGTAAAAGGCAGACTGCAACCCCAACTGTGAGAGTCCAAGGGGGAGTAAAAGAGGTGTTTGTTTCTCTCTGATTCATCTGTCTACATCTCCCCTTAATACCAACCATACATATCTTCTGTCCTGTCCGGGAGACAATGCTGCCTCTAACATGAATTTCAGGAGATGACATGATGGCATTGAATCTCAGAGCTAAGCTCTTGTCACGTGTTTTTTTAAGTGCTTCTCCTTTGTACATCTGGCAAGGTCTCTGGGAGTAAAAGATGGTGCAAACTGGGATAACGGAAGAGTAGGTCATGAAGTGAGGAACTAGGCTAAAGTAGCATGATAAACCACATGAAAAGTCCACCAGAGCACTGTTTCCATCCCTAGACTTAAGTACTGGGAACACTTCCTGTGAAGGCAGAGAAGGTGAAGGAAAATAGGTCCAGCAATAAGCCTACCCGTCACATCTCCGTATAAACTCCAGGTCCTTTGTCTTGCTTTTTCTGAATGAATCATTTCTCCATTCATCCCCATCAGTTATCTTGTCATGTTTTCACATTTTTTCTTTGTCACTTTTATTTACACATAAATCCACATTGGTCAAAAGGTGCATCAAAAATGGAAACAATCATAAAAGCAGAACTATATTTTTAACATTTTCAGTGTAATGTGGCTATCCTAATAGAAATCCATATTAAAGTGACTTTTAACAAAAGATTTATTTTATTTGAAAGTATAAGCTACAGAAAAAGGAGGCACAGAAAAAGAGGGATATCCTGCGTGCTTTTTACTCCCCTGATGGCTGCAACTGTCAGCACTGGAACCAGCCAAAGCCAGAAACCAGGAGCTCCATTTGGGTCTTGTACATGGGTGACATGGACCCAGGCATTTGGGCCATGCGACTGCTTTTCACAGGTGATTAGCACAGGTCTGAATCAGAAATGCAACAGTGCAGTCTTGAACCAGAACCCTATGGACATTGCAGGTGGCAGCTATACCCTCTGCACTACACACTGCCTTAACAATAGTGAGTTTAAGACATTTACTAAACCTTCGTCTGAGGAGTGGTAAGACAAGACACTGGAGAATGATGGAATATTTGGCGTAAATTAGCAGTTTCAGGAGCACCAAGTGATTTCTCAAGCTTTATATTCAAAGATGTTTTGGGAACTCCTCATGGGTTAAAAATTTTGTCTATAGCAGTTGAGTGTTCTCAGACAGGGTTCAGGAATCATAGAGTCACTTTAACTCATGCTCTCAATGACTTCAGGAAATTTCTCAATACACCTTATAATCTTAGGAAAATTTCTTTATCATTTAAGCCTCAGATTCTTCCTGTGTTAAACGAGTACAACATAATAATATTACTTAAGGAATCCATGAGAAATATTAGGGTACAAGGTAAACAAAGCTGGTAAACCCTATTTTCTGGATTTCTTTTCTGATTTAGACCCAATGGTGGCTCACAGTAAGTGAAGTACAATTGCAAGAAATTTCTTAGCAAGTGAGAGAATCTGAAATATATTCATCCATTTTCTGTTGATATAACTCAATACCTGAGTCTGGGTAATGTGCATAGAAAAACACTATGTCTATCATGGAACTCTCAACAACATGGCATTAGATCTTATGAGGACCATCTGGCTGTCATTCCTCGTGATAAATGCCTTTATGTTTGCAAGGCATGAGAGGGGAGAGAGAGAGAGAGATAGGAAGCCTGAGTGATTAGGGAAAGGGCAAATTCTCTCTTATACATTAATCCTGTTGAGAGAGCTAATAAGGCCCACATGAACTACAATTTCTTCTTCTATTTTTTATATTTCATTTTATGACAGTTTTATCAGCTCTGGGATTTCTTCAGGCCCTCCAAAAAGCCTTCCCCCATATTAAATTCCTCCATATTGTTACAATAATACAGTTCATATCCAATCATTATTCCTTCATTGCGGGCATGGACCATGTGGAGTTCAGCATGCTATTGTCCAGATAAATTCAACAATTCCAATGGGAGACCATCTGTGGACTGAAAGTGGCACTGGCCAAATATCATCCCCTCCAATGAAAAGCCACTAAAAACTTCAATAACAATTTACAACATCGTGAAGTCAATTGACATGGTATTGAGTGACCAATATGTTTAAAAATGCAGGTTCTGAATCACGTCCTGTGACTACTTCATTGACATTTCAATTATAGTTTATACACAACCAGCTGCTATACACCTTAAAATGGTTATATGCCAGAGTCCAGCTTCAGCTGAGTTCGGAGCTCGAGAAGGGTGCATGGATGAGGCGCAAGGAGAGAGACGGACCACTAGGATTCCATGATCATTGTGGACCATGAGAGAAAGCTGTCCACTTTATTTATACAGAAGCAGTACACGGTTTTCGTTTAGGGCAATTTGACATAGCTTCAACGGGGGCACAATTTACAACAGCTTGAAAGGTGAGTGAGGAAGAATTCCACATTCCTTGTTTATCTCAGCTTGCCAACCCCCACTTGCTCTCCTCAAGTCTGGGTTCTATCCTTGGCACACCTGTGACAACCAGACCCCTACCTTGAATTATGTATGGGTTAGTAAGTCTGGGGTCTTGGTTTATGGGGATTAAAGGCCATTGGCATTAAAGGCCATTAGGCCTGCAAGCTCACATAGTTTGTTAACAAGTAAAACAAGAGTTATAATGGTGGAAAGAATTGCAATTAGCAATGAACCATTTAAGTTTCAACTCTACAATGGGCAAGTGAATGTTTCCAAAGATAATTCTACAAATAGTTTCACCTTAAGACAGGGCATTATCCATTCTGATGCTGCAGCTAAGAATTTCTCAGTAGACAACATCTTATTCAGTAATACACTCCTACTTCAATTCTTATTCTACAACTTATCCATCACTTAATGGGAGAAATACATCAAAAGAGAAAAAACATAAACATCTAAGACAAAAAGTTTCAAACATTAAATCCCTCTACAACTGCAGGTTCTATAACCTCATAAATGATCAAACAATAATCAAAAGTATATCTTTATGATGTTAGTAAAAATCACCCTCTATTTCCTCTAGTTAAAAAATTATGAAGGCAGCCAAAGCAACTACATTTACAAGAGTTGCAAGGACAGGCTAATCTTTAAGGTCACTGTAACTATATTTTTGTCATAGCAGGATGGCCTTTAGGGTCCCAGTAACAGGATAGCTTCTAGGGTTCCAGTAGCTATATATTTTGTCCTAGCAGTTTCAGCCCATACTCTCATCACTTCCATTAGTTTGTAAAATTCTTATCAAGCCATTTCCCAGAAAGCATGCTACATGTCTGGACCAGATTTCAGAGCAATGGGTAGGGACACAATAAGGTGTCCATAAACAGCATGGGCTTAATTGTACTCCTGTGTGCAGTTAAAGGCCCAATCACCAAGACATTATCAGTAACATCAACTCCTAAGCTCATGTTGGTTGTAAAAGCCATTTCACAGGGGCACACAATGCCTCAATAGATTACAAAAATTCTTAGTGGGGTGGTTGAGTGTCCATGTGAAAGGGGGTGAAACTGCATCAAGGTGGTCAGAGAGAAATCTGCTGGGCCCTGCCAAACAGCTGGAAGCTCCCCGGGCCTTGCCAAGCAGGGGGGGGGCTGTTCTCTTTACACCTTCATGTTATTCACACCTACTGCACGGACCCCAGCAGTTATAGGGTTCTATTCAGCTGTCTCGTGTCTATTTTCACTTTTATATTTAGCAGCTTATAGTATTGAAGTGTGATTTTTCCTGAACTTCACAAATTTTAGGATAGTCCAAACAAGCTTATAACTCAGATATACCATGTTAACAATTGAGGCACAGAACAGTTTTAGGAGGGGTGTGCAGAGAAATCTTTAATACCTTAGCAAGAGGTAACTAATCTTTGTGTCCTACCTAGTAAGGTATATGTGAGTCCAACCTGACTGTTTCCTGTCTGTTCTAACCTTTCCTTATTGGTCTCTATCGAATCTAATTTTGGTGGGGCTCCGGAGAGACCCTGATGGTCATTGCAAGAGAGAGTGGGGTTCCAAAGTTGAAATTAATTAAGGACCAGAGAAAGCTCCTCTCCCGAGTCTCAAAGGATGTTTACAATTCTTCTGTTTCTGAGGACCGCTCAGGGCTCCCACATGTTATTCTAATGAGATTAGATCCTGTGAGAAAGGATCTGAGCTTCTTCCATCCCATGTGGGAGATCCAATAGGGAATGGATGACCTCAGAGTCCTCAGCCTCCAAAGGCACTCCAATTCCCCATGGTCTCCATGGCAGTTGGGATATAGTCCTTGGTGCCCATACTGACAGTCCTTGGTGAGGACCCAGCAGTCTCCAGGGTTGGGATACAAGCCTCCTCCTGTCCTCCTGCTCCACTCTGGAGTCCAACCCCCACTCCACCACTGCTCTGTGCATATGATCTCCTGCTAAGAGGCTGTCAGGATCGCTCTTGGATCCCACTGTATGTCTTTATAGTTTTTGCTAATGTCTAATGCAGACTTGAGTCTGCTGCCTGTAAGTTACCTGTTACAATCTTGATAGGTTATACTTAGCATCTTCCTCATACATTTTAAGAAGGTGAAAGATTTCTCTTCACTCCTGACCCATTACGGAATAACATAGGGCATTAAAAGCACATTGGGCTTTTCAGTTCTTTGATGTCGATCATAAGCAGTCTATCATTGATTGTTGGTCCATTGGTTATATCACAATATGTTTGAGGTTTAAATAATATTGTAATTTACAGGTATTATTTTTCTGATTGACATAATTTCATGTTAAACTAAGGCAAACATGTGGTATCTAACCTTCTGGGATTGGCTCATTTCCCTTAGCATAATGGTTTCCAATTGGGCCCATTTGACCACAAAGTACTGGATTTTGTTTTGTTTTCTTTTTTTTTTTTTTAATAGCTGAGTAGTATTCCATGGAGTAAATGAACCATAGCTTTCTTATCCAATCTTCTGTTCGCGGGCATTTCAGTTGCTTCCAAGCTTTTGCCATTATTGATTGTGTTGCTATGAACATAGGGATGTATGTTGGTTTCTGGTGTAATAGGTGTTTTGGATATATTCCTAGAAATGCTAGTGTTGGATCATATAGTATGCAGATTTTCAGTTGTTTGAGTGTTCTCCATACTGATTTCCATAGAGGCTGTACCAACCTGCAGCCCCACCAACAGTGGAGTAGGCTTCCCTTTTCCCCACATCCTCGTCAGCAAGTGTTGTTGGTGGTTTTTTGTATGTGAGCCATTCTTCCTGCCATTAGGTGGTTCTTCAGCGATGTCTTAATTTGAATTTCCCTTATTGCCCAGGAGTTTAAGCATGTTTTCATATGTTTGTTTGCCATTTGGGTTTGTTCCTTTGTAAAGTGTCTGCCCATTTCCCATGACCATTTCTTGAGTGGTCTGTTTGTTTTGATGTTTTGCTTGTTCTGGAGATCTTTGTATATTCTAGAGATTAGCCCCCTATCACCTATGTAGTGTGCAAAGATCTTCTCCCATTCTGTGGATTCTGCTTATTTGTTGATTGTTTCCTTTGCTATACAGAAACTTTTTAGTTTGGTGTCCATTTGATTATTTTGGTCTTGATTGCTATTGCTTTGGGTGTTCTTTTTAGGAAGTCAGGGCCTACACCTAAATCTTGCAGAGTGTTTCCAACATTTTCTTCCAAAAGTTTGAAGGTTTCTGGATGTAGGTTTAGGTCTTTTATCCATGTAGATTGGATCTTAGTGTATGGTGAGAGATGTCAGCCTAATTTCTTGTTTCTGCAGGTCATCGACCAGTCGTCCCAACAGCATTTATTGAACAGACCTTTCAATTTCCCTGCATTGTCATCTGTTTTGTTGCCAAATATTATTTGGCTGTATCTGTGTGGGTTCCCTTCTATTGCTTCTATTCTACTCCACTGATCTTCCTCTCTATCTTTGTGCCAGTACCAGGCTGTTTTGATTACCACTGCCCTATAGTATGTCCAGAGATCTTGAATTGTGATTCCCCCTGCTAACTTCCTATTCTTCAGGATGGTTCTAGCTATTCGTGGCTTTTTGTGTTTCCAGATGAACCCTTGTATCATTTTTTCCAGTTCTATGAAGAATGTTTTGAGTAATTTGATTGGAATTGTGTTGAGTGTATATATTGCTTATGGTAGTACCAACATTTTGATGATATTGATTTTTCCTATCCAGGCACATGATGTTTCTCCATTTTTTGAGGTCCTCTTCAATTTCTTTTTTAAGGTTTGTGTAGTTTTCTCCAAAGAGGTCATCTATATTTTTAGTTAGTTTATTCCTAGATACTTCATTTTCTTATCTCTTATTTTGAACAGTAACTTGCTTATTAAATCTTTTTCCATCTTAGAGATGTTTGCATACACCATGGTTATTAATTTTTGCTCATTTGTTTTGAATCCTGCCACTCTACCAAACTCTCATATAAGTTCTAGCAGTCTGTGTTGAGTCTCTTGGTTTTTCTATGTATAGGATCACATCATCTGTGAATAGTGAAAGCTTGACTACTTCATTTTCCATTTGAAGTCCTTTGATTTATTTTTCTTGTCTTATAGCTTCTGAGAATACTTCTGGTACTATGTTGAATATCAGTGGTGATAGTGGACATCCTTGTCTTGTCCCAGATCTCAGTGAAAAGGATTCCAATTTTTCTCCATTCAGTATGGTGCCAGTGTTGGGTTTTTTATATATTGCTTTGGTTATGTTGTGGATTGTTCTTTCTATGCCTGCCTAGTTTAGAGCTTTTAGTGTGAAGTGATGTTGGATTTGTAGAAAGCTTTTTGTGAGTCTATTGATACTATTATATGATTTTTGTTCTTCAGTTTTTGGATGTGGTGCATTACATTTATGGATTATAAATGTTGAATCACCCATGCATTCCAGGGATGAATCCTGCTTGATCTGGATGAATGATCTGTCTGATAATTTTTTAATTATTTTGGCTAGAATTTTGTTGAGGATCTTAGTATGAATGTTTATCAGGGAAATCGGTCTGTAGTTTTCCTTCTCTGTTAATTCTCTATCCGGTTTTGGGATTAAAGTGATGTTGGCTTCATAGAATGAGTTTGGAAGGGTTGTTCTCTTTTCTATTGTTTTGAAAAGTTTGTAGAGGATTGGGGTTAGCTCTGCTTGGAATGCTTTGTAGAATTCTACAGTGAAACCATCTGGGCCTGGGCTATTCTTTGTTGGGAGAGCATTAATCACTGAATCAATCTCTGCCTTGGTTATGGGTTTGTTCAGGTCCTGTGTTGCCTCTGGGCTAAGTTTTGGTAGGTAGTGGAGTCCAAGAATCTTTCCATTTCCTATTGGTATTCTGATTTGTTGGAATACAGTTGTTTGTAGTAATTTCTAATTATTTTTTAATGGTTGCAGTGTCTGTCAATATGTTGCCTTTCTCATCATTGATGCTATTAATTCTCATTTTCTCTTGTTTTTTCTTTGTCATCGGACCAGTGGCGTGTCTATTTTGTTTATCTTCTCAAAAGCCAACTTCTTTATTTGTTGATTTTATGTATTTTTTTCATTTCTATTTGGTTTATCTCCTCCCTTGTTTTGATAATTTCTTGCTTCCTATTGATTCTGGGGTCATTTTGCTGCTGTTTTTTCCAGTTTCTGGAGGTGTGTGTTTAATTCCTTTATTTGGTGTCTTTCTTGGGCTTTGACATAGCACCAATTGCAATGAATTTACCACGTAGCACTGCTTTGGCAGTTTCCCACAAGTTTTGGAATGTTGTTTTTGAGTTTTTGTTGGTTTCTATAAATTTTTTTTATCTTCTCCTTAATTTCTTCTCTGCCCCATTGTTAATTTAGTAACATATTGTTCAACCTCCAAGAGTTAACAAGTTTTCTGGGGGCATTTTGACTCATTGATTTCCAGTTTCACTCTTGGTGATCTGAGAAGGTACATGGTTTGATTCCAATTTTTTTGAAGTTAGTGAGACTTGCTTTGTACCCTATCACGTGGTCGATCTTGGAAAAGGTGCCATACACTGTTGAAAAAAATGTATATTCTGTGTTTGTAGGATGAAAGGTTCTGTAAATGCCTACTAAGTCCAGTTGTTCTATTGTCTATGTGAGTTCTATTGTTTCTCTGTTGAGTTTCTATCTTGTTGATCTGTCTATTGGGGTTAATGGGGTGTTGAGATCTCCTAGGATGATTTTATTCGCATCTATGTCTTCCATTAAGTCTGTAGTAATTGCTTCACGTAGCTGAGTGCACTGTGTTTGGTGTGTAGATATTTATGATGGTAATCACTTCCTGATGAATGGTTCCCTTAAATCACATAAAATGTCCTACTGTATGCCTTTTCATATTTTTCACTTTGAAGTCTGTATCATCTGAAATTAGAACTTTCTAATTTTTTTTTCATCCATTGGTGTGAAATATCTTTTTCTATCCATTCACTTTCAGTTTCTTAGCATCTTTTTTCATTAGATGTGTCTCTTGTAGGCAACAGATAATTGGGTCCTGTGTGTTGATCCATTCTGTTAATCTGTTTTTAATTAAAGAGTTTAGGTCATTTGAGTTTAGAATTAATATTGAGAGGTTGCGACACCCTTTGCCATGTTTTGTTCCTGGGGTCCACCTGCCCCTCTCCCCCTGCTACAGATGGGCACTTCCCTGTGTTAGCTACTCACAGAGGCTCACCAAATTTTGCTGAGTTTCCATATCCTTGGACACCCTCCTTCACCCTCTCAGTTTGTAGTTCACAGTCTTTCACATCTATTTCACTGCTGCATGCCATTTTCTCAGTCCTGAAAACACTCTGCCCTTCTTTTTGCCCTCAATTCTGTCAATTTCCATCTCCAACTTTCCATACCCCCTGTCACATCAGCCTACCACCATTGGCCAACTTAACTCCTCCCAATGACCACAGTTTCTTCACTTTTTAAAATATATTTATCTGCATTTACTTCAAAGAGCAAGAGAAAGAGGAAGGTAGAGTAAGAAAGAAATATGCTCCATTTTCTTGTTCACTGCCCAAGTGCCAACAGCCAAAGACAGGATAGGACTACAAGCTTCAGGCTAGGCCTAAAGATAGGACTCTAGAATTACATCCATATCACCCACAGAGCAGCATGAATCCTAGTACTCCAGCCATCATCCACTACCTCTTAGGATGCATTAGGATGAAGATGGATCAAAGGTGGAGCAGCCTAAAACTGAAGTTACATCTCAACCAGTGGATTACTTCATTCTGAACACCTGCCTCTTTCACCCACAATTTTAATTGCCATCTAGAATTTAACCTGAGAATATCTCCTCTGCTTTCCCTTCATACATGCTTAATTGATAGGCGTGGGTGGTGTGTCAATGCATGAATCCAAAAGCAGACCTTCAATATTCAGATCAACACTGTCAGACATTGAGACAAATAAAACATCATACATGAGCTCCAATTCCACCTTTCATAAATAGAAAATTAATGATTCTTACCTCACAGATGTTAGAGAATTAAGCCTGAGACAATCTGATAACTGATTAATTACCAGCTGTTAAGCACTTAGAGCCAAGCTTGTAATTTTTTCATTTTTAAATATTCATCTATTTTACTTGAAAGGCAAATTTACAGAAAGAAGGTGAGAGAGAAAACCATCTTCCATCTACTGGTTCAATCCCCAGATGGCTACAGAGGCTAGAGATGAGCCAATCAATGCCAGGAGTCAGGAGATTTCTCTGTCTCCACCATTGATGCATGGTCACATGACCTGAACCATCTCACTGATCTTAGGCAAGAAACAGGGAGCTTGCTTAGGGATGGAGATGTAGAGATGCCAGACTACCAACTGGCAGCCATGTGGGATGTCAGTAATTGCAGACAGAGGATTAGTGTGCTGTGCCTAAGCTACTGCTTTCACAATGACATTTCCATGAACATCTCTCTTTAAATACCAAGACCTGCATTTTTTCTACCTCCACTCAGTCTCCTTCCCCCTCCCCCACACACAACATGCAAATGCTTTCATTAGCAAAGGACATTCTGTTGAAGATAGCCTAAGAGACAATATGTAGTTTGTATGGTACACTCCATATGGCACAACAGTTAGCCATCCTGCAAAGATCTATCTTAGTGACTCTCAGATTTCAGTCACCGACACCTACCTCTGTATTGCTGAGCAGTTCTGCTCAATCCAGTCCCCACACCCTGTACCACAATGCTCCTAGGTATTCAGCAAAGCCACATTGAGTCCCCACTTCAGTGGTCAGCTTCAGTAACTGGAGCCCACATTTGTCATTCTAAAAAGCACCAAGCTGTTCCCAGAAAAGATCATGATCAATAAAATGTTCATCTCTTTCCAGGAGTGTTCTAATATTAAAATGTGTTCTAATTGTCATCTTTCCTATCACTTACATGATCCACAATGTTAGTGTTCCTCATGGCTGCCTTCACTCATTGCATAAACACTGAGAACACAGTGTGTGTCACACAGAGCTAGAAACAAGGGAGACAGAGCATTCTTGTCTTGTGTGTGAACCCTGTAGTTCAGTGTGAGCCACAGAGCCCTGCCCTCATTATACCTCTGCTAAAAAGTGTTCACCTCCTTCATGGACCAAAAGTCTTTATCCCTCTCACATGGACCGCTCTTAGTCGTCAGGGTAAAATAATCACCTTTGGTCAGTACAGAGTAATATTTGGATCCATAACTGTAGCACACGGAACAGGAGTGTTTGAACTACAAACCATTTCCATGTCATTTAGAGGACGTGTATGATAGTAGAGAGATGCCATATTTAGAGTCAGCAGTAACAAGGTCTGAATCCAAGTTCCTGTATTTTCTGGCTCTTGATGAATTGCTTCATCTCTGCAAGCCTCTGTTTCCCTTCCCTGAAACACAGGAACAGAAATTTCCATATAACAATACTGTATCTGAGGGTAAGAGGTGAGATATCTTGCATAGGAATTCAACACTTGTTTCTGTTCCCAGGAACACCAGTGGAGGGAATCCAAGCCTGAATCCAAATATCCTCGTGTTGGGGACGACTCTTGCACCAACAAATGGAAGCAATTCGTCTACAATTCGTCCTGTGGAATACCTGATTCTGGGCTCCCTGATCATCATCGTTGCCCTGGTTGGGCTGGGAGGAAACGCAACTGTGATTTGGCTCCTGGGCTTTCACATGCGCAGAAACAGCTTCACTGTCTACATCATCAACCTAGCTATCGCTGACTTCCTCTTGCTCTGCTGCCTCATCACAGATCGCTTTCTTGCCATCAGTAATTACCAATTTTCCTCTATCTCCAGGGAGTTACTGCAATACACTTCAATCCTTCCATACATTATGGGCCTGAGCATCCTCAGTGCCATTAGCACTGAGCGTTGCCTGTCTGTCCTGTGGCCCATATGGTACCGATGCCATCGCCCCAGAAAACTGTCAGTTATCATGTGTGCCCTGCTCTGGGCCCTGGCGCTGATACTGAGCATCTTGGAAGGAAGATATTGTATCTCCTTTCTTAGAAATAATTTCATTCATCAGTGTAAGAATATTGATTTTACCATAACCTCCTGGCTGGTTTTTTTATTTACAGTGCTCTTGGCATCCAACCTCATCCTGCTGGTCAGAGTCTTCTGTGTATCACAACACATACAGCTAAGCAGGCTATATGTGACCATTCTGCTCACTGTGTTGGTCTTCCTCCTCTGTGGTCTGCCTTTTGGCTTTTTCTGGTTCCTCATAACCCAGACTTTGCATGCTTATCATAAATATTTTGGCCATTTTTTCCTGGTTACAGCTGTCCTTTCCAGTGTTAACAGTTGTGCCAACCCCATCATTTACTTTTTTGTTGGCTCCTTTCGGCAGCAGAAGAGGCAGCCCCTAAAGGTCGTTCTCGAGAGGGCTCTGCAGGGCACCCCGGAGGAGGATGAATGAGGAGGAAGCCTGAACTAGTGATGAGAAGAGCCTGTGTCCTGGTCAGTCTATCAGGACTTTGAGAGTCAACACTGCCCTGTTATACCTCACAGTATCTGCTCTTTGCTCATCTCCCTGTCACTGAATCAACCCAGGAACTCCTCACCATCTTCCAAAATACTTAATTTAATCTGACTTTTCTTATTTGTCTTACATAAGGAACAGGGAAGTAAGACCATTTCCATCATTTTTCACATTTTAACATCATCAACACAATTCTCATCTTCCCCTGAATGTTTCTTTTGAAATTATTTTTGAAATGGGCAAAGGCATGAACAAGAGCTCTCAAAGATAAAATACAAATGGCAATAGACATTTAAGAATGCTCAAAATCATTAACCATCAGGGAGTTAAAGATAAAACAACAATGACGTTTCACATTATCCACTTAGAAAGTGTATAATAAAAAATAAAAACATACTCAAAAGCATGTGAGGAGAAACTTATCATAGGCAGAATATAAACTAGTACAATCATTATGAAAAATACCCTTTAGACTTCTCAGAAATTTGCAGTTTCATGTATGTCTATTGCAGCTCAATTCACTATGGATATGAAGTCAACCCAGATACCCATCCACTGATGAGTGAAAAAAGAAAATGTGATATATACAGACACTATTTAATACCACTCAACCATTTAAAAAATGAAATCCTGTCTTTTGCAACAAAATGGTGGCAGCTGGAAACCATAATATTTAGTAAAATATACCAGTCTCTCAAAAGGACCAATATTGTATATTTCTTCTGGTATGTGGTAGTTATGTAGAATGCCAAAAAAATGTTTAAAAATTAGGTGAATAAATTGTGATTTGATTGTTACTCCTAGCCCCTATTTATTCTTCTGTGCAACTGTGGTATTCCCACTTTTTACCTATTCAATGTTACAGTTAGTGCTGCATTAAGCCTGTGGTTGTAGAGTAGGGGTGATGCTTATGTTTCTCCAAAACTATCTGTTTCTACTTTTTGCTTGTTCAATATTATATTTAGTGGTTCAATAAACCTTACTTACTACTGAAAGAGAAATAACAGTTACTAAATTGTTTTGTCTTTCTTCTCCTCAAACACCACATTGCTCTTAAATCTGTTTTTTTACTTGATATAATGTGGCATTCCCTTAATATCACAATTCTTGCTCTTTTTAAAACTAAATAATATTTGGTTGTATGCATGCTAATTCCTCATATTTCTAAATTATTCTTATGAATTGATCATTCACAATCCAACAGAGCAATACAGAACAGATATAGGTCATGAATCAAGTTGCATGTAATTAAGTAACAATGACTCCTAAACATGTGAAAAGATAATAAACAAAATTAATTTTAAAAACCTACAAAAATAAAATTACACAGAGTTCTTTTTTACATACAAAAATGCAAAAGGTCAGGAAATTTGACAGCCAGACTCTCACTTACATCTTGATGGAGCACATAAATTTTGCAGCACATAATTATTCCTTGAACAATTTAACTAGAATTATACATCTGCAAGATCAGATACATGTCAAAGCAAGTAAGTGCCATACCATTTAAGATGAAAAGTTTGGTAGCAGCTAAAATGATCATCATTATGAAATAATTTATGATACCAATATTTTTCCAAATTATTTACCCTTTAATTATGAAAACTCATGCCATGCTTAAAAATTAGTGTACGCACTAGTCTCTAGCTTTGCTAAATGTCTTGAATTTTGTGATGTAATTTAAAAGGTTCTTTACACTATGACTCAGGCTTGATTTTCTGTAATTCATTTACATTATGTTTTTATTATTTGTTAAGTATCTAAAATGTAGATATTTAGACCTGTTCACAAACCCAGCAGCAGGTGGCCCCACATTGGGCCAGGCTGAGGACCTCTGACCCACCAACCTGGTGGCATGCTCTGAGAATTTGGGGGTGTGAGCTTACAGGGGTTCTGGAGGATGGCACAGAAGTTGGCGAGAAATGACCTGAGGATACATGTGAGATGAAGAATGACTCCTGAGGGACAGCTAGAGACAATACCACTGTACTTGCACGTAAGCAAGAGGGTTAAGACGTAGCCATTTGGAAGGGAAAACGAGGAGAAGTTTAAGAGTCAGACCAGGCAATGGGCCATGCCAGGGACCTCTCCCCACCCATAAGGCAGGTTCCTGGGCCCCAATAGCAATGGGCAAAACCTTTGGGCCACCAGGCATCATACTCCGGGGAATTTGGGTGTGTGGACTTACAAGGGTTCTGGAGGATGGCACAAGTGCAGGTGAGCTGGAACCTGAACGTTCATGTTCAGGGGGTGAATTACTACTGAAGGACTTCCACACACAAAGGACTGTACTTGCAAGTAAGCAAGGAGGGCTGAGAGTGAGGAGTTTGGAGGGGGAAGCGAGAGGAATTTTTAGGGTCAGAATGAAGTAACAGCACATGTGGGAGAATGAACTGGGGCAGTTAGAATCAACCATCACAGAGCACACTCACTAACACACACTAAAGCAAGGGCTGGGGGCCTACATGTAGGGCTAGATCACAGTACTTACCAATGAGTGTTGGAACAAGGGAAGGATGATGCTAGGTTGGGCCATGACACCAGCCAGCATGTGACAGAAGCATGTCTGGGGGCAGAATCTGTGGGGAGTGGTAGCCCAACCCATATGGAAATGCTATTTCCATTAGCACATGCAAGATCTGTAACTGAGGACAGCCTGGTTGGGGAAATAAGGGGACACCACAGCTGTATTGGGGTTCCCACTGGTGAGCACAAGAGGCATAATGGGGAAAACTGGCAAGGCTGGACATGGCTGCAGTCTCCGCTGAGATGGGTATATACAGGGTCTTGGGAGTGGCAAGAATGGACTAGTCTCCAGCATCACCTGGTACTTGTGAGAGCCAGGGTGAGTGTAGAACAGACTGAGCTAGGTGTTGGCTCTAACTGAACCTTGCAACAACCGTGTCTGGGCATGGGCCAGGTGTGGCTGTGCTATAAAGCCCAACAGCAAAAGCCAGAGTGGATGTGGCCAGTTGGGTAAGGACACTGCTCCTGCCAGGATAAGAGGTGGACAAAGTCAACCTGAACCAAGGACCCACCAGTGTGCAAGGATACCTGATAGAGGAGCTTGGAAAACTCCTTTGTCAAGCTGCTGTCCCTGGGGGAGGGGCGCAACCTTGGACCTGGGAGTTTAAACTTCCAGCAGCCACGAGGCTGCTGGTGGGTCTCAGGACGGGATGTCTCATGCCTGGATCCGAGACCACAGCCACCAGGTGCACATGGTGAGCTGTCCCCAGGCAGCCAGCACGCCATTTGGTGCCAGGCTCCGCCTGCTGGCCGCCTGGCCGGGGAGCTATGGGGTTTTGGTTCTTTGAGTCACTGCTTAGTTAGCTCCAGGTTGAACACATTGTGCTTCTAGGACGTGAAACATTCGTAAAGATTCCCATTGGCAGTAACTCTTCCTTTGTAAAACTTGTAATCACTGAACAATGCTGACCACCAAATACCAATCCAGGCAAAAGGTATGGCTTCGGGCTTGTCCTGTAGAGTTATATCATGTTACCTGTCGTGATGATGGATCAGGAGAAGGGTCACCTTAAGCAGGGCCATTACATTAACTAGCACTCAAGAACCATAACTGGAGGTAAATTCTGTGAGGGATGTGTGGGCCACATCCTGTGAAAATTCTAGCCCCACTGGTTATCACAAGAGATGGGGTGGTGATGGACTAAGCTAGGTGTGACCAAGGAGCCTGCCATCAATCACAGGTAAAGGAACCCCCAAATAGTCTGGACTGGTCAGGGCAGTAGCAACCGATTGTGCATCCTGATTAGCGTGTGGGGTGGGCTGGGCTGCAACGTTCACCAGCTCATACAAGGCCAAATGGAAGACCAGACTGTGCTGGGCACAGGCCTAAACCCAATGGCATGTATGAGAACTGGGTCTGGGAGTGGATTAAGTGGGGGAACTTGGGAAACTCCCCTGGTGAGCCATAACTCCCACTGGTAAACATGTGGTCCAGACCTGGGGGTCGGACAAGCTGGGAAAAGTAGCTCAAACAGTTGGCTAATATGTCAATTGGTAATGGAACAGGGTAGATCAGGCAGGACTGAGCAAACCTTAGCCCACAAGCAAAACTAGAAACCAGGGTAGAGCACAGGTCATAAGAGCTAGGCTCTTGTACCTACTGGTCTGCGTGAGCCAGGAACGCTAAGCCACAGTATCTAAGGCAGAGGTCGGGACAGGTGAGGGGCTGAGCCAAGCTGAGTCAGAGCAACCACTGGCATGCGAGTGATCTATGGCTGGGAATAGGTGCGGTTGGGGAGCTAAGGGGACAACCCTAGCTGGGTTGAGGTTCCCACCAAAGGGAATGTGTGGCCTGGAATGGGGGCTGCGTTCTGATCTGGGAACAGTTGTAGTCTCCTTTGGCACAAGCCAGACCCCAATACCCTCTGGTGTCCTGGAGGACAGGGATAGATGTGGAATGGACTAGGTTAGGTCTCAACATTCTACTGAGCCATGTGTGAGCCATATGTGGGTATGGACAAACCATGGCTGAGCTGAAACATCCAACAGCAAGAACCAGCTTGGGTCGAAGACAAGTCAGGAAAAGCTACTGTTCCTGCTATGACAGGAGGTGAACTGAGTAGGGATGGCTCATGGGCCCACTGGTAAGAGTGAAACCTGGCATTGGAAGAGGTTCTGATGGAAGAGCCCGGGCAACTCCTCTGGCAGGACACAGAACCGACAGGTAAGTGCAAGAACATGACAGAAAACAGCCCAGAACAGGCCATGGAAAGTTACCCACTGGCATACAATTGGCAGGGGTTGGGGGAAGACCAGTCTGAATATGTCCACATCATCCACTGACAAATCCAAGCACCAGAAAAGTGTGGGTCGAGCCAGATTCGGTCGCAACAAAGACTATTACACAATACGGAATGCTAAGGTGGGGTTGCCTGTACCAGAGGGGACCACAGCGCCCAACCAGCAAGCGT